TCTAAGTAGGTGCTTTAGACCACTGAGCCATCTCACCAGCCCAAGGAGAGAAGATATTGCCCACAAGAAACCAGTATCTTACTCTCAATCAATAGAGAATGCAAAATGCTGGGACACACACAAAATAAGAATTTATGACACAGGAGAGATAACTGAAAAACAGATTATTTGCAGAGGAACACTGACAGCAGTGACACAAGTACCTACTATCAAACTTCCGCACAAAAGTATCATAGAAATCAAGATAAAAAGTTCTCTCTAAGATAGAGAGTGACAAAAAGAAGGAAGAAAATGCAATCTCAGGTCTTGATCCCACCCAGAACATAACCAGGAGATATAAGCAAGCGGAAGTCATACACTTAAAATCTCTGAATTAATAGCAACTGAAGTAAAGAAACAAATGCAGAAGGGTATAGAGGAAACCAGGTCAGAAATAATCCCACAGGTTAAAAATGGTAACTATAATGACAGAATTACTAAGCATCTCTAAAGAAGATGCTGATAAAAAAAAATACAGGAGAATAGTAAAATGATGGAAATCTTTAATGAGCTGTGCAGGAAATAAATACATGAAACATATTCAAAGAGATATACAGGAATTTAAAAATTCAGCTAAAAGTTGAAAAAAAAATCTGAATGAAAGTGAAAACACACTTTCAGACCTTGAAGCCACTATATCAGCTAGTGAAAAGGTAAGGAAAGAAAGATCTCTGAAAAACAACTACGATAAAGGAAATAATAATTCAATATTTGCAAAATGATGCAAAAATGAACAACATAAGACTAATAGGCATCATTGAGAAAGAATGAGGCAACACACAAATGACCTAAAAAGTATATGGGCAGAAGTAATAGCAGAGGTCCCAAGGATATAGCTCAGTAGAATAAGCACTTGCCTTGCAAGTACAAACTTGAGTTCAGTCCCTGGTTCAGGAAAATAAAATAATAGCAGAATATTTGTTAGATATGTGGAAAAAAATCTGACATTGAGGTAACTGAGGCATATAGAACTCCAAATAGCATCAACTCAATTAAAACATCACCCAGATATTATAATCAAGATCCCAGAAATTCAGCACAAAGACAAAACTAAAATTACCTGGAGAAAAGAAACAGATCACTTTGAAAGGAAATCCTACCAGTCTAACAGCAGATTTCTCCTCACAAACTGTTACTCAAGAAGAGCATGGAATGAAGTACTTCCAGTCTTACAAGATATCAACTTCCAACCCAGATTGATATACCCTGCAAAACTCTCTTTCAGATTTAATGGAGAAGTGAAATACTTCCATGACAAAGAAAAACTAAAGAAATTCATGATGACCAAACCAACTCTGTACAGAGTAGTAAAAGATATTCTAGAAAGGGATCAAAATTACAAAAATTCCAAGAAAGAAAACAGAAAAAACCCAACAAACAGGACAAAAACACAACAGAAAAGTAGGGAACCAACAGGAGGACAATAACATGACAAACATCACATCAATACATATCAATTGTGACCAGCAATGTAAATGTACTTATTTCACCAATTAAAAGAAGTAGACTGGCAAAGTAGATAAGGACACAAAATCCAACAATATTCAATATGCAAGAAATAAATTTATCTCATAAATTTATTCATAGGCTGAAAGTCAAAGGATGAAAGCAATACTACATGCTCCAGGACATCAAAAAAAAAAAAAAAAAAACAGGAGTACCTATTCTGTTTTCAGACAATCAGAACTTCAAACCAAAAATGATCTAATGAAATAAAGAAAGTCTCTACATACTGCTTGGGGGAAATTTTCAAGAGGAAAGATGAGATAAAAGAGATAATAGTTATAATATGTATGGGAACACCCGATTATATGAGACAAACTTTAAAGGATGTGAAATATCTAATAACCAGTATGACAATTTTAATAAGGGACCTTAATTCCCCCTTATTTCAAAAAGATAGCTGGAACAGACAAAAAAATTAACAACGAAGTAGTGGAACTGAACCAAAACTATGAACAAATGGACTTAGTGGACATACACAGTGTTCCAACCAACAACATCTGAATACATATCCTTTTCAGCTACACATGGGACATTTTCTAAAATAGACCAAATACTAGTACATATATCATGCTTAAGTATATTCAAGAAAACAGAAATTATCCCATGCATATTTTTCACTATAGTTCAATGAACCTAGAAATTAAGGCCAAAAGAAAACACAAAATCCCATAAATATATGGAAATAAATAACACCCTCTTTAGCAACCAATGGGTTACAGGTGAAATTAAACAAGAAATTAAACAATACAATGCAATGAAAATTCAAACACAGCTTACCAAAATTTGTGTGATGCAATGAAAGCAATTCTCAGAGGGAAATTTATAGCAGTGAACTTGCATATTAGGAAAATAGAGTGAAAACAAATACCCTAATGCTGCACCTCACACTTCTAGAAAAAGAAAAGAAAAACAAACCCAAAGCCCAAAGATGGGCAGAAATTATAAAGACAAGAGTAGAAGTTAATGCAATTTAGATGAAGAAAACAATACAAAGAATTTATGAATACAAAAGATGTTTCTTT